TATGAACACCAATTAATCTACATTCATGAACAAAACAAAAGGTGATCAAAACAATGAATCTCCATTCATGAACAAAATGATATTTATGAATAAGATAAAAGAAAATTCATGAACAAAAATATATAAATAAATAAATAAAATATATTAAAACGGTCCAACACTTATTAATGAAAGACAAAGAATGTGAAGAAAGTATGGAGGAGAGAACCCATGAAGGTTTATAGAGAGAGAAATTACAAATAGAGAGAGAAGTGGGTTAAAATTTGAATTAATTAGAAGAAGAAACACAGATAAAAACAATGGATTGTAGGACTTTTCATAATGTCTTTTTGAACTGATGTGTTTGGATAACTGTTTGGCATATTCCCAAAAATAGAAGAAAATGAATTTATTTTCATTTGTGCAATCTTCTATGGAGGAAACTCCAATGCAAACCAAATTCAACACAAGCATTCTCCCTCTATATATATGTTTTTAATTAGGAGAGTTATGGACTGCCTGTTCCAAGATTTGATTTTTGCATACCATCTATAAGAGAGAGAGAGAGAGAGTCACAGTGAGAGTTCAGCTGTGACAAAAATAGAAGTAAGATGACATTTATAAATAAATATAAAAAAAAAAGGAAGAAGAAAACAAGGGTATTTCAGTCTTGTCAATAATTCTGTCACGTTCTGTTATTTTTGCACTTCGGTCAAAATTACAGGGAGTTTATGAATACATTTATAAACATCACGGAGGTAATATGAAAATGCGTGAAATCATAAAGAGGTAAAATGTAATTATTTCTTGAATTTTCAAGTTCGGTAGACTTATCTCAAGACCTATTTCAATTATCTAAATCGTTTATTTTATGGGATTCATTAAAAGAAAAGTTAGCGGTAACTAATTATCGAATCACATTTATTTTTATAAAATAAATAACAAATATAATTTTAAAATAAATCATATTTTTTAAAGGATAAATTACAAATAGACCCTCTGAGATTTGATTAAAATACGAATCGCTCCTATAGTTTTAAAAATTACATTCCACCCCCTAAGATTTCTAATTTCATAACAAATCAGTCATTTTATTAATAAATCATCAAGTCAATTAACAGTTGTTAATGATGTTAAAAATATGTTTTAATTAATAATTTAGGTAATTTTATTATTGTATATGAGAGCAATAATGAATTTCATTTTTTTTAGTTAATTATGTTAAATAAAAAACTCTAATAAGGGAGTATTTGTAATTTTTCAAACCATATGGGACAGTCTGTATTTTAAACAAATCTCAGAAAGTATATTTGTAATTTATTCTTTTTTAAAAATTTTGTGAGCCGATCATTTGATTATTAATTTTCAATCAATTTAATTTTTTTTTTAATAAACTCTACCAGATAAATTCAATTCTTTTTTTATTATATTTTGTTTACTTAACTCATGAATAAAATATTAATTGAATGAGTGTCTCCACTTATACTTGTTATCATCGCAATATTTATGTTACAATTCACATCGATTAATAAAAGGCTTAATCACATGCACATATTAGTTTTCGATACCCTTCCTTTACATGTCGATTTCTAAGAGACTGATGACAAAAATACTCATACTCGTTACCGATGTAAAGTTTATCCCATGTCGATAATTGTTTTTGACAACCTCTTTACAAGTCAATTTTTAGGGGGCTGATAAAAGATAAAAAATTAAAAATTAAAAATTAAAAAAAAGGGCCAATTTTTAAGGATTCTAATCAAGTAATTTGAACCCCTTGATATCTTGAGCATAAGATCAGACAGAAAAAAAATAAATAAATAAAACAAAACAAAACAAAACAAAACAAGCTCCAAGAAGGCCAATGTAGATGCCTACTATGGGGTTTTTTGGGAAGCAAAAAAAAGTTAACTTTTAACTTTTTACTCATTTTAAGTCACATTACCTCTTACATTTTTTATCACAAAATGATAAAATAAACAAAAAAAAATCAAAAAATTAATTTTTTATCAACTTTTCAAAACATCACTATGGTGGTGTTTGGGAAGCCAAACTTGGGCTAAAATAGCCATGTCACGACAAAGGTGGCTTTTTTAGCCACATAGGGACAAAACCTTCACAGGTGCAGCCCAACGGGAGCTTCTATTTACACATATCAAACCCACTCTATACACACACTTAATGAAGAAGATGTGCAAAAAGTGTAGTGAGGAGGATGTGCAAAAAGTGTATATTGTGTGTGAAAATAGAAGCTCCCCAGCCCAACAGCCAATGCCAAGGTCAATTTACGAAATTACCCCCACATGTTAATTTTGGGCATCACCATCAACTGCAGCACACAAAAATTAATAAAAAAAAAAAAAACATTTTTCCCAAAACACACCTTTTCGTAAATTTAACAAAGAAGGTTGAAAAAAAAAATTTAAACATTTTTTTTGTTTTTTGTTAAAATATTTTATAAAAATAAATTCAAACTCTATTTATAAAAATATTTTTAAATATTTTAATTTTTTTGTTATGTATTTGGTTATTTTTTGAGTGTAGAATTGTGAAAGTAGTATGGAGTTTCGAGTTATGTGTTTGGTTATGAGTTTTAAAAATAATTTATTAATTGAGTTTTATTTTATGTGTTTTATGGTATAAATGGGTGGAACTTACTTCTTTTGATGACACGTATATATAGGGAATTTCAGCCTCTTCACATAAGATTGGAACGTGAGTGATGACATCGATAGGAGATATGTTCCCTGCTATAACACATAATCTGCATTTACAAAGATAACATGGATTATAAAAAAAAAAGAAGTTGGAGTTCCATGTTCAAGAGATAAAGGAAGAGAGGTTTTTGAATGTGAAAAAAAAGAAAGAAAGAGAAGGTGTCCTTCTTTGTCGCTAACACAATTCAAACTGAAAAAGGGTTCAAGTTTTTAATGGACGTTCATCAGTGTTCCCAATTTTTTTCGAAAACAAGTCAATACACTTTTTTCATGTTGCGACTTTCACCCTTTGTCTTGGAAGATTTAACAATGGAAACAACCACATAGCAAGTTTCCATTTGCCTCATTCAAAAATATTTTTAAAAAAAACATAAAAACATAAATTACCATTCGCGACGTAATTTAGAAATAAATAAAACACATGAAAACTCTTTTTTGAAAAATAAAAAAAAGTTATTGTATACCAATAAAAAGAAAAAAGAAAAAAAAAACATAAATTAATGTGGGTGAATAAAAAAATGACAAAATTGTAAATTTAAAAAAAAATAACGACAAAAATACGCCTCATTCAAAAACATGTAAAAAAAAAACATGAAAACATAAATTACAATTCGCCACGTAATTTACAAATAAATAAATAAATAAGTTATTGTATACCAATAAAAATAAAGAAGGCAAAAAACTTAAATTAAAGAACAAGAACTAATTAATGTATACAAAAAAAAAAAAGACAAAAACATAAATTTAAAAAAAAAAATTTAAGCAAAATATGCCAAATCTAAACCCAAAATAAGATTAAAAAAAAAAACAAAAAAAAAATGTACGCAAAATATGCCAAATCCAAACCCAAAATAAAAAATAAAAAAAATTAAGCAAAATACGCCAAATCCAAACCGAAAATAATAAATAAATAAATAACATTTAAGCAAAATTTGCCAAATCCAAACCCAAAATAAAAATTAAAAAAAAAAAAGCCAAAAAGGGCATATTGGTAATTTAACAGGAAGACACCTCACCAAAAAGTCAAAAAGCCAAAAAAGTCAAAAAGTCCTTCCCAAACCAGACTTTTTAGCCCCAGGCTAAAATAGCCAAAAAGTCAACCCACTTCCCAAACGGAGACTATATAGATTCGTAGTAAACTTGATTCTTGTGAGGTCGACGAATTAACAATTCACTCCCACTTCCTCAAACCAGATAACAAGCATGAGTTTGGTAAAATTTTAAAATTATGATTTGAAAATAAAATTATATTTTGAAAATATAATTTAAAAAAAAAAAAATTGTTTGGTTATGAATTTTGAAAAGATTTTTGAATTTTTTATGTTGCATATAAATTGAGAAAAATTGTTTGATTATGAGTTTTGAAAAGAATTTTCAAAACTTAATTCAAAAAGTTATAATTCATAACCAAACGCACAACTCAAAACTCTGTTGAAAATTCTATTCAAAACTCATAACCAAACTCTTTTTAACATTTAATTCAAAAATATAATGTCATTTTGATTTAAAAAAATAAATTCTATATTTAAAAAATATCAAAAACAAATATAATTTTTTCCTCCAAATAACAAGTGATGATTGGCAATTGAAAAAAAAAATTTACACTGTTCCAGTCAACCGACCGAACGTTCGGAGAAACGTTAGAGAGAATGACCGGATAGACACAATTTAAAAACTCGTCTGCTTTTCATTATGAAGAAGACAAAAGAGAGAAATGTCAAACGTGAAAGAAAAATATGTTCTAAAATATGTTGTAAAATCATATTTTCAAAACTCTAACCAACCAAAATGTGCAAACAAAGGGTGAAATTATGATTACAAAGTTGCACCAAACAATTTTCATCCTGCATTCAATCACACTGAATTGAAAAAAAAAAATTAAAAAGAGCTACACAGAGTAAATTTGCAAATGGGTTCCATAACCTTCGTTTGGCATGCCAGGCATTTCGACTTTTGGCTATTTTAGTCACAAAAAAATAAAATAAACTTTTTAATCTAATAAGACAAAATATTACATCTAACCAAAAATCATTTCATTTTTTTTCACACAAAAGTCAAAAAAAATCAAAAAATCTATCTAAAACAGAACTTTTTAACCCCAAACTAAAATAGCAAAAAAAAACCAACCCACGTCCAAACCCATAATGTTTTCCACAACACTTTACAATGAAAGATAATAATGAGGAACAAAGTAGTATTATTCACTAAACAAGAGCTGTAATGTAGTTCATTGAATTTGAAAACTAAACATGCAGTAGACCTTTATATGTCACTATTCTCTCTGTTTGGAAAGCGAGACGAAACCTACCAGAGTAGCCAACTAGATTTATGGATATATACATATTCTTTTTTACAAATTACAGAAAAACCAATACAAAACAACATATTACATGTTCAAGTACAATAATTTTCTAATAAAGCAACATATAATTCATAGAAAATAGAAGACCCCTTATTAGTGAAAGGATGCAAAAGGATAAGGCACACGGTCGGTCTGAATAGGAGTCAAGAACAAATATCATCACAGGACTAAACTACCTTAGGATTTCACATATATTATTTCTGCCCTTGGTGATGCCCGACTAAATCGCATCAGCTCTGTTGAGATTCTAAACCCCTCATGTGCATCAACTATTTGATGGTACTGAACATGCATTGTCTCAAGAAATGGAGAACAAGCGAGAATGCATTTGATGAAAAGCAATTCGGCCCTCAAACCTGTGATGGAAGTTATCTTTACAGTTCGAAGTTGGTTCAACATCTGGAAGATGAAGCCTGGTGCTTCCAAATAACTTGGATTCGGTTCCACGGCATTCTCCCTGACTGCAGAGGCCTGTAAAAGATGATAATTGCAAAGAAACCCTTTTAAATTTTAAAATTAAAAAAAGGCGAATAATCTTATCTTGTTTGTTTCAACAATCTCACTGTCATCCGGAGTTTCTTCAAGTTAGGAGAACTTCTGAGCAAACAAAGGACACATGACATCTGATCCAGATCATCAAATCTTATTTTAGTAAACACAAGATGCTTCAGTTGGTTAAAAGGAATAGAGAACACCCATGGAACAGGACCTGCAGCCAAAAGCTTTGAAGCAAACAGCAAGAAAATAAGACATGACCTGCAAATTTCCATATGTTGTACCAAATAAAAAAAATTGATGACATATACTCACCTTAAGGAAAAATCCATCAAAACAAATCTTCAAAATTCTAGGCAAATCATAAAGAAACTTGTTCAAATTGATTGTACTTCCTTGCCCGGGGTTTTCAGCTTTCTTTCCCAATACAATAGAGATCATGGTCAAGTTTGGGGTACTTTGGAAAGAGATTGATTTAACATCACGACTGTCAGTGGCAAAGAAGGTTTTGAGTTTTGGGGAATGGATATTAAAATGTTCAATGCCAGTGCAGCCTGAAAAGTTCAACGTCTCAAGCAATGGCACACTAGGGACAAGAGTTCCAAATATATTGGCAGCGAACACCATTTTCTCGAAGTGAAGGCTAATTAGGTTACAAAACCCACCAAACACCTCTGGTGGTTTAAATACACAGTTACGGAGCTTCAAATGTGTCAATTCTGGACAAGAGAAAACATAAGAAGGCAGCTTATAGGATTTAACATTCCGATTATCCAAGTTGAGTTCCTTGATACCATTCCGTGAAAGGAACAATAGCCACTGAGTGACATGTAGGTCCCAATCACAATGTGTGTTTGGAATGTAGAGAGAAAATTTCAGAACGGGGCCACTGTGAAGTAACAGTATATTACTGATTATGCTCACAAACGTATATGCGTACAGTGGGTTGTTGCGAATGATATCTGCAAAGAAGCGTTTATCAAGCACAAGATGTGGGAGTGAAGACCAAATATACCTCCAGTTTCTTGACAAGATACTCGTCCTTGCTGCATCTCGAACGGGCATGCGCTCTAGAATGTTGTCTATTAAGTTTCTTGGCAGGCCACTAACTATATCATCTGTGCCATTATCTATTGCTATCCTTTTATGACTGTCTGTCATTACTGCCTGATATTCAATAACAAGGTCACCCATTAATTTTCTTTGAATTTGTTCTAAGACTATATCAATTCAGATATGGGGATGAAAAAATAGGGAAAACAAGAGTAAATGCAAGCTAATTTTACTTCTCTTTTCTTTTTCTTTCTTCTTTCCATAGAATTATGCCGATTAAGATATGGTGATGAAAGAGAGCATTACTTTACATACGAGAAAAAATATAGAGTTTTTATATAAAATAAGATGGTTGGTTTGGATTCTATGACCTGAAAACTAAAGACACATTGGTTGTAGTTTAAAAAATATAAATCATTCCAGGTCAAAATTCTGCATACTTGAAACTTTTCAATCCCTGATGCTATGCTTGGATCTTGGATTTGTGGTGGGGGAAAGCAAGGGAAAAGATTAGAAAATAAAATGAGTGAAAGAAGCTAACTTTTCTTTTTCTTTTTTTGTTCTGTTGGTTTAGGAAAATTAGAAGCAAATGAATAGGTATTCATAATAAACTCTTTTTTTTTTTGGGTTACCATAAAAAAAATGAACATGCATAAATATCACCAACCCTTCATCAATTTTTTCATCTAATAAATTTGAGCAATAAGCTTGATTTGGTATGAACTACTCCAACCCTTTCATCAAATTTTCATCAAAACCTTTTTAAAAATTCCCCTCTTATCCCAAATTTCTCTTTTCATCAAATTTGATGAGAAAAAAAGAATCCCCCAATGCTTCATTTGATGAATCGATTGGAGATGGGTTCTTGAGCACTTTTTCATGAAATATAAATTTGATGGAAAAAAAAGGTGAAAGGATTGGAGATGCTCTAAGTAATTTCATTTTCCTAGCAATTAGGCAAATCCAAGATCCAAACATAGCACATCCAATTTATAAAGGGTTTTAGAAATTGGAAGTTTATGCAGACCATATTTGATTACAAAAAATGAAACAACATGCAAATTGACTTCAATCAACACCTATTCCTCTTAAAAACTGAGCATAACTATGAACAAATGAAAACACACACAAACTAACAAAATTTGATAAGAGACTGAAGCTGAGGCTGATAAGCAAAGCTAGACAAAGTACAGAAAATCAAATCCAATTATAAAAATTATAAAGAACCATAAAGAACCAATCTTACATGATTACATGATCAAACCATAAAGAAGTTGAAAGATAGATGAATTGGAAAGAAACCCATGATTAAATTAACGAAAATCGAAGGCTAAATGCTAAAATCGACATTTAACAAATGAAATGAGGTCAAATTTACCTGTAATTTTGTTCAATTCACACTTTTCCAGTGTTCACTGTAGAAACCCTAGAAAATTTGGGACATCGCTTGAATAATTTCTCATCTTGACTTGCAAAATACATAGATCAGACTCGGGCCAAAGTACTGTTTTTATGAAAGGTATAGCTCCACTAAGACCGTGTTCATCAAACCCAGCATCAAATTTAAAATTTGGTGAAAAAATTATTGTTTGATACTTCAATGGTTACACCAAATCGATATCAAAATAAGATTTCACCAAACATTCCATCAAACTAAATTTGATGAAAAGGTTATTGTTTGATACTTCAATGGTTACACCAAATCGATATCAAAATGAGATTTCACCAAACATTCCATCAACAGGCGAAGCATTTCACCAAATCACTGTTACTGACCGTTGGGGGTGATACCAACCGGTCGACCAACCGGTTGACCAACCGGTCAACCAGTAAAAGATTCAAACAGTTCAAAAAAAAAAAAAAAAAAAATTTCCCTAACCGGTCAACCGGCCGATCGGTCGTCCTGAAAAAAGTTCAGAAAGTTCAACAAAAACAGTTCAGACAATTAAAAAAAATAAAAAATTCTTCTCACCGGTCGACCAGCTGGTTGTCCCAGGACAGATTTGGTGAAAGGTGAACCGTTGGAGCATCTGGTACTAGATTTGGTGAAATGAGTCATTTTTGACTCAGATTTGATGAAAAATCTGACTCACCGTTGGAGATGCTCTAAGTTATTGTATTGGGTCTGGTTCGGGGACCCATCTTATTTGGATCTATTGAAAAAGAGTATCTATATAAAAAAAATATAATTAAATTGGTTGGATATCGATAATTATATAATTATATTATATTTATTTTAAATATAAAATAAGTAATTTATTCTCAAGATCATATTCACCGTCTAATTTTATTTAAACATATGTAATATGAATATATTGTATTCATATTTAATAAATTTAATTTTTTATATTAATTATATTCTCGACGAATACTACAAAATGCAAGATTGAGATTGATTAGTTCTGAAATGGAACCCCTTGACCCAATAAATACTTAATTCTTTATAATTTGTAGAGCGAAACACATCATCAACCGTAATCCAATGACTTGTGAATTAAAATGTATGGTCATATTTTCAATCTAAATTAGTAAGTGTATTTTTGAATGATTGTTAAGTTTTGTGAATGAAACTGTTTGTAAATTTTCCGGCAAGAATTATCACATGACAATTTTTTAAATTATTAATGTCACGTGGCGATGGAAGATGAAGGGTCAACAATTTTTTGGGACTCACTATTGAAGTCAAGTGAAATAATGCCTAAAAGTAATTGATATATTTTAATTAATTAAATTAACCAAGTCTTTGAATTAATTAATTAATTAATTTAGATTTGATAGATAAGGTAAGCCTTAATCGTTCCTAAAAATTACAAGGTTGTTGAGATTTATCTCTTAAATTGGTGCTTTATCTCTTAGTTTGTTACTAAAGTGACTACTATGGATAAAGACTATATGGGATTTGAAGATTTGGTAAATCAACGGTAAGGCTTCAAAAGTAGACCAATTTTCCTAACTCGAGGCAAGTGGAATTTTTATGAGACATGTGTCAACTTGGAAGGAGATATGAGATCAACAATATACTACAAATAAAGAACCATTTTCCCCAAATAATGCAAAATTGGGTTTTGGGTTTTTTTTGGATATGAGATCAACAATATACATGGCAAATGAGGAGGCTTTGAGGATCAATCCAAATGAATCTTTTCCTAAATCATGTAAAATAAATTCAAATTTGATTCTTGAAGGGCACATGGCAGCCCCTATAGGAGCTCAATAGATCAAGTCAAATCTACAGAAATAGACATTAGCCTTTGAAGGTCAAAATTGTTCCTAATCTTGAGGATCAAGCTAAGGATCAATTGCCTGCAAAGCGTTTTCTTGTGGGTCCCTCAACTTACTCGTTCAAAAAAAAAAAAAAAAAAAGAAGTTAAGGACTAATGACACATGACATAAGGAGAGGTTGCCACGTTCTTGACAGTTGAACAAAAATGGAAGCATCCCTAACACTATATAAAGGGTTCCAAGTATAACATTTGAAAATGTCCAGCACCGATCAACTCAATCAATAGTCTTTCATTTATCTTAGTTTCATATCTGTAACTCAACTTAACTTAGCTTCTTAGCTCAATGTGGATCAATTAAATTAGTCAATTGTACTTCATTTTAGATCAATAAAAGTTCAATTCTAGTTTAATATATCTTTAGCGCCTATCAAATTTAGTAAAAGTTCTCTTCATTAGGATAAGATCTGAATCAATATCAGTTTCTCTAAGTCACACATAGTTACTTGTCTGTGTTAAAAGTCAGAAACGGTCAAATATTCCTATACTTTGAAGGTTCACAAGTACTAACACACTCGCAATCAAACGTATAAACGCAAGCCTACGCGTATGCACCCACAGAATTTTTTGAACAAGATTTTCTACGGTGTAAATAGAAACCAAAAAATAAGAAATTTAAAAGAAGGAACAAAATAACTTTATCTTCTCAGCATTGACCCTATGTTCACAAACTCAAATGCTTATTGTATGTATTTTAAAAAGAAATTAAAAACACCTTATATTTTAATTAAAAAATCAAAAAAATCATTTTGTTTGAAGCCTAATTTATTGTTTCAGCTTTCTCTTCCATTATACATCCAAAGATTCAAACATGTTAGTAACTTTAGTAGAACAGTTTCCCCTCTTTTAGCTTTTAGTATGGATGGTATCTCATCGTTTCAATTTTGGAGGAAGTTTAAATTTTGGATCTCATCGTTTACATTTGGTTCTCGTTTATTAGCGCTCTTTCTCTATGTATAGATATTTGTATCTTCAAATGTAAGATGAAATTACAGGTGAAATACATTAGATAACTTGAAATACAATCTCACATATTTTCCAGCAGTTTAAGCTTTTGAATTCATTACTTAATCATGAGTTTCTCTTCAATCAAGCTAAAATATCACAACTTGCATTTATATCATATATACTTCATCATGTGGCACTCATCATACCATCATAAAACAAGAATTAACAAAAATTGGAGATATGCGATATGAACTTGGTCTTGTGTTCGAACTCCTAGTAAGCTTTTTATGATTGAGATTCATATATTTTTTTTTCTTCTCTTTTCTTGTATTTGATTGAGCGTTTAAAGAAGTGATAGGAAAACATTTTTTCAGTACTCCAAGGACCCTACAAGTCACAAAATTTGCAAAAAAACACCACCCTTCTTTAACAAAACCTCAAAGAGAACCTTGAAAGCATTTATTTGCCTCTGGCTAAAAGAAATCTGTCTTTCCCGGGCAGAAGGGTAAGCATTGCAACCGACTTGATGTGACTCAAAAAGAAAAACAGAAAAAAAATAAAAAAAAAATTAAATGTCTAAAATCTCAACTGCTATTAGAAATCAACTTCGTCAAGTTCGGTGTAGAAAACCCTTAAACAAGAAGACTCCCAAGCCACCAATCGCCAACGTTAAAAGCAGAGAAAACCTAACAGGTTCAATGTCAGCAATTATGCTTTTCTTCTCTGTTGTTCTTGCTTGCCGTGACCGCTCTTTCACGGTCTCAGAAAAAAGGTTGCTGAGATTGTCTAGCTGATGCATGACTTGACGTTGTCCCCGAGCAATATTTGAGATCTGTTCAAAAAATAGAGTGAGCACAAACAGAGAATGAATGAATCAAGTTGATCAAAGTCGAGCAGCTCCAAAGTGGCACATGATGAATAGAAACCAATAAAATGATAATATAAAAGCCAATAATCTAATAACCAGATAAAAGATCAACGACAGGACAGTAAGCATCATTATCCCAAGACTATTTGTATCTAAGGATAGTATTATATATTAAGAAATTAAAATAAAATAAAATAAATTCAACATTTGTAATTTTCTAATTGATCTAAAAATCAGTTCTTCAAATGACAATGCTTCATTTTGAATATCATTTGTTAGTCAAATGATTAATCTTCATGAAGACACTTCAGATAGTGATAGGAGGATGATTTTAATTACATTACATGTGCTTAAAAAATTGTAAGATACTACCAGATTATTAGTATCAGATATTCATGCAATAGTTAAGCAGCAAGGTAATTATGGATGTTACAAACTTCAAATCACACTCAACTCAGCAACCCATGGTCCCAATTACTTGGGTTCAGCCATGTGTTAAAATCATTTTTAGTCTATGTAGTTGTGGAAAGTTGTTGGTGAGATGGCATGGTAGCCTTCTGGGAAGATGGTAGACACTAGACGCAAAGGAACAAAATTTCCAGTTCGCATTCAAACAGCAAAAAAATATTTTTGTTTCCTAAGAGACAAAAACAAAGCACTAGTAGACTAGTAGTATTTCCATAAAAAATTCAAATCCCATTGGAACATACTGAAAGGCATCAATGCATAGCGCAATAGACCGAATTTAGAAATTTTCATAAATTATTTGCAAATTTTTTGACAAAAATTCATAAGGATGTATTTTACTATATTAATAAGTATTATTAGTAATATAGCATTGCTAATATTATTATTGTCTACGTGGAATTTTGAGTCTTATTTTTTGGGATCTTACACACTTTATAAATCATTTACACTTGTATTTAGAAAGAAAAAAAAGGGTGCATTATTTGACACACTTAATAACTTCTTAGGTCATAGCAACTCTGATTTTTTATTTTTTCACTTCTTGTTTTATGTTAATGTTTGCATAAATCTCAATTTGTTAATTTTTGGGTTTTTTGCATTTAGATAGATTTATATTTATGTTTCCAAACATTTCTATTTTTTCTCTTCCAAAATGTTTACATGCAAATCAAAACACTGAATTTTTTTATTTTTTGATCTTTGGGCACAAGGCCATTGGAGGTGAGGGAAGTCACAGCAAAGGCAGTATCTAACCTCCCCCCGGCATTTTTGAGCTCGCTGGAGGAAGAGGGTGGCTGAATGAAAGTTTCCCTATATAAGAAAGTCAAATCATGGGGGGCCAACTCATTCATGCATATTGCATATTGTCCTATGCCGGTTGCTCAACCCATTGTTTTGATAATCCAGAGGTGACTAAGTATGTGAACCAGTGGCCCATGGCCTTGTGGCCTAGTGGCATGGAAGCAGCACTTAGGTGCTTGTACGGGAGAGGTTGGGGGTTCAACTTCCCCTAAGAGCTAATCTAACAACTTACAATTGACTTTCGCCTATCAAAAAAGAAAAAAAAAAGTATGTGAACCAGTAGAGATCACTTGGTACAGCTTGATAGAAGTTACTCATAAGTTCTTTACTAGTCAGCACATTTAGAATAAACTGATGGCTTCCTTGGCCTTCAGTGTGAATTTTTATCCTTAAATTCCAGGAAACTTGCCACTATTAAATTGTTTATCAAATAGTAGGATCCGTAACTATTCAGAGACAACTCTTTTATCTAAGAATTAGATCATAGCAGAAAAGCTGTTGAGTGAACACTAGTATTAGAATATAAAACCTGCTCTAAACTAAGAACCAAGCGTAGTATGGCCCCGTTTGGTAGAGCTGTGGGAAAGTGATTATAGCTTATAGTTTAACAGCTTATAGCTTATAACTGTGAATATAAGCTGATTTTTGACTTATAAATTAAGCTTCTCCTCTCTCACTCAAAGAATAAGTTGATTTTTGACTTATAAAAAGCTACAAGTTGTATTGTTAAGCTGAACCAAACACATCAAAATAGCTTAAATTAAGCTAAACGCTGAAATAAGCTAGAAATAAGCCTACCAAACAGGGCCTATGTGGAATTGAAGAACTTCAGAATATGGTTGAAGAACACACCCAAATATTTTAAATAATGGTTGAAAAATTTCCCTTTATATTCTTCTTCCAGAATAGTTTTTAGCTATTTCCAATTCATTTTTTCATTTTACTAGGAGTTACGTGACTTTTCAATTAGGGCAGATTTCATTTTTGCCCCTGGCTCTTAACACATCGCATAAATATATTGCAACCACTAAATGAACATGATGAATTCGAAAAAGATTACCTCTTCCATTAAGGGGGACTCCTTTGCTAACTGGGAGGAAGATGAAGAATTAGGCATGATAGGTCCGGTCAAGGAACCGTTGCCTAAACTAGAGATGAAGTAAGAAGTAGGTGCAGATCCATTGCAGGCTTCCGCTTGCAAAGGCATGTTTTGTGGGCTAGCAGAACCTCTCTTGTTGGTTAACTTGGAATTCAGTTCTTCAATCCGAGATGTAAACTCGTCCATCCGGTCATTCAGTGTGGAAATATGTTCCGACAGCTGTGTGATAGCTCCCTACGGAGAAAAGAGGGGGAAAAAAAAACAGAGAGTTCACTAACAAAGAACATTTACTAGCATAACTATACCACAGGAACAATTTAGTCCGAAAATTGCAGTAATTTTAGGGACTCGCAAAAAATCACCAATCACCTGATTTGTTAATGTTGCTTGTGATTCAGTTGTCCTCTCATCAAACCTTAGGTTATTTTCAGAAAATCCAGTTATCTCGGATAGATTCTTGTCCCTTCGTGTTGAAAATGAATGTGACATACCACTGTTCAAACAAGAATATATCACAGTATTAGTTGGACAAGGCAACTGATTCTTAACGAAGGACAAATCAAATGTTGATGGGAAAGGGAAAAAATGGTGCACAACATATTTGCTACTCCATATCTACAAAATGAAAGTGCAAAATATCATTGGTAACACATCAAATTTTAGTGGCTTAATTAAGATATGTGCCCACTCTGAAAAAGGAATATTCTTGAAATTCAACAATTAGGGTCCGTTTGGATGGATGCGGCTTTCAAATATAGAGATTTGAAATTAAAAATATTAAGAGTAAGGAGTGTTACTAGAAAAAGCTAATACCCTAGTTAATTACATTTTGGAATACGTTCTGAAACAAGGTATGCTCTTGTTCCACAATAGTAAAGTTAGCGATCTGAATCAATTCCAAAAGTTTTTTCTAATATATTTCCTTAAAGTTTCCTTAGGAGTAAAAAAAATCAAATATAATGAACTAGAATCTAAGGTCAGTGAAGTCTTAACATGACAAAACGTTAAAAATGAGTCATAATGCTTATTGAAATGTGTTGCTTCTTGATTAATTTGTTGGGGGGGGGGGTGGTTTGGCTGGTTGTTAAAAGAAAAAATACTCCATACTAGAATACCTTAATTTCTTCTGATGTATACTATACAAGTCTACCCCATCGTATCTCAATTCACGTAAATTGCGGCATGATAGGGGTAGACTTGCTTGGTTAGGGAACAGGAATGGATTCTAGAACATATATAATTCTAAAAATAAATAAATAAATAAAGTGGGGTCAGATGGAACAAAGATTAAAACAAGCAAATAGAATTTCATAAGATCAGTTTGCAACCAACCAAGACACCAAAAAGAGAGAAACGGAAAACAGATGAGAGTCGAGGAAATTTATAATTAATCTCACAGAGACTTTGGAAAAGAAGATCCCAAATAAATATATTGACATCATCAAAGATAATAAAAATTAGAAATCAACAACCAACGTAGGCAAGAAAATGAATGACAAGAAGAAAAATTTTATGAACTATGCGTCAATTATATAGATGGCTCCCAACAGGATGGAACAGGGGATCAGGAACAGAGTTATCAGCTTCAAAGTAGCTGAAAATGAGTTGGCAACAAAAACAACAATGATTCATCCTTAGGAAACATACATATGATTCTCAAAATACTTAAATCTTAAGAAAATGAACAAGGTGGATTATGTCCCTACAGCCACACTAGAATGAATGTATGGAAAACATTACTATCCAGTGCATATACCAAAAATAGGATAAAATAAGGGTTAAAACATCGCACCTCTTGAGTTGCTTATTTCTCATGGCCACCCTCTCAGCTGAGGCTCGAAAAAGTGCTTCTTTGGGGCTTGTTACCAGCTCCTCATCTATGTTGAGCTTTGTTTTCAAGTCATCTGGTAATGCCTGTAGAATGATTAAATCAGGACAAGAGTGCATGAAAAGGCATCACAAGCTCTGGAAGTTGTCATACCATAACCTCATTTACAAGCTTTTCCAGCTGTATTTGTTCTATATAAGTACGAGGAACGTATGAACCTTCTAATCCCAACTGCTCTGCCACAGACTTTACAACTAGACGATCTTTTCCTTGCACCTTTTATCAGAAAAGGAAACCATTTCAGTCAGAAGTTTTAGGTCTAGTTAATCCACATATTGGGTAACAAGCCAATAGGAGAGTTTAGAACAACAAAAATGAAATATAGGCTTCTCTGTAAGCCATTATGTTCTACATCATTATCCCAAGTATGTCCTTTTGCATACTGGGAGTAGGTGTACAGGTTGTGCATGAAATAATACATATGATGCATATCAGGTTTTATTTATTTATTTTTATAATGGTGCATATGGATTTTCTATTCTTATAGTGCTTGACAATTCTTGGAAAATGAACTCCAAAAAATAACTAAACTACTTCTCTTCTCACATCTAAATCCTCAATAGTGCTATTCTATTTTTGATTGGCACTAGGGTATCCGGATCAAAGCTTGACTAATCCCCAGGATGTCCAAATCAAAACTTGACTAATCCCCAAGGGTGCACAAGCCCTCGGCAAGGAGTTTTCTGCAAGTGCACCACGGTTAATTCAAGGGTTTTCTCCCAGTCCAATGGCCCCAAAGAATCGTTAACACCTAAAAGGTCCTGATCTCTGAACCTTGGAGGGAGCACACCCCCAAGACCAAGGCCTTGCCACCAGGCCAACGCCTTGGGGTTCGTGCTATTCTATTTTGAGTAATAAAGTATCAATTGTGTCTCTCACCTTTTACATGCAAACTGCTGTTTGAGATTACATGTGTGCAAGTGTCAAGATAATGAATATTGACAAAATTTATTTAAAAATTATTCAGAATAATGATTAAAATATATAAGTATTTAATATGCCCATTTCTATTGGCATCAATTTATGTTAACTTACCACTGAAGTGATTACCAAAGTAAATTACAAACAATAAATTAGACAAAAGTACATTTTCAATTCTTTAATAATTTGAAAGAAAAGAAGAATTGAATTCCCCAACCAAAGGAAAGAAAGATTGATGAACCATACATAGTAGCACAAACATGTTGATACGTGGTGAACAACCAACAAGACTTTTGCTATAGTGGATATCATATTGAATTGCTTCTAATTATCAGAACAAAACAATAAATGAAACGGAGACAATAAAATTATGGTGTATGATTTCATCTTGTACTCTCTAGTAATCAGATGAAAAAAAATCATGTACTACCTGAACATAATGGCGATTAAGTTGTTCTAGCCAATCAATTTTCACACACACCCTCTCATCGGAGAATGCATGGCTATTTCTTTTAAGGATAGCTGCAATTGTGTATCCCAAGGCCATCAAGCCACCAAGAAGCCGCACACTGACTTCAAAAGTTATTCTGGGTGATATGACAAATGGAGAATCCGTAACCCATTCCTGAAATCCAAGAGCGTAACCATACTGATCAGATAACACTATGCTAGTCTTTTCAGTCTTATTTTTTTTATCAAAGTTTGCAGCAAATTCAGAGATCCAAAGAAAGGCTGATATCAAGCATAAAAGAAGAAATTGGTTGCAAATATAACAAAATCAATCCAAAGAGATTATTACCACGGAGATTGGTTAACATGCCACTAAGCAACTAATTCAACATGAGTTACAGATATAAACAAGATCATACACTTAGCAAGTACAATAACATATTATGTTATTCAATGTGAATGTAAAGCCCTCACTGCTTTATGTCCAAAAAAATAAATAATAACAAAAAAATTAATACATTTAAAGATTTTAACTTCTCCATTCCGTAACCAGAAAAAGAAATTGTTTTACTTTATAAAAATTGCTCAACAAAATCTCGTTTCAGTAACTCCTTTGTGTATATACAATACGTCTACAAATATCTCAAAATGAGTAAATACAAACTTAAAATTATATGCACATATCAGCAATCATTGCCATTACATTACAATAGAAGTAATATACATAACATGCAGTATTTTTACACAGTTTGCCATTTTCACAAAAAAATTGCTGCCTGTTTAAATCAGTTAAGGTAACATGAAAAAGAAAACAAATTTCTGATATGAATTCCTAAGGTACCAATTATTATGACCAAGTGGCAAACCTCAAACATGAGATTGTATTTTCCATCTTTGTTCCGCATCCTCAAATATGATTGGCATGATTCTGCATCTTCAGCAGGTGGAAGAAGATATATATCATAAGTCTGTTCCGTGGTTTCAGTGTGCACTTCCGACATGACAGCCTTGATTTGATCCACAGTCATTTTCTTTGATGACTACAATAAACAGGTAACAAATGTGTAGAAATAAATCTGTATTGCTCATTGTCGTTGCTGAAGAAATTTTGTAGCTAAAGTCATTGGCAAACAACATGAAAATAGAGAATATATGTGTGGAGAGAGAGAGAGAGAGAGAGAGAGAGAGAGAGAGAGAGGAGATCAAACCTTTAAAATGTAAGTAGGAGACTGGAACCCAGTGAATGGGTTGAGAGAGAGAGAGAGAGAGAGAGAGAGAAGAGGAGGAGAAGATCAAACCTTTAAAATGTAAGTAGGAGACTGGAACCCAGTGAATGGGTTGAACTTGTTGATGATTTTTATGTGCGCTGTCTTGAGATCTGGCTCAATAAAAGCCTTGTACATTGGATATACCTATGTCACAGAGTATAGCTGAGAACTTTTAGAGATGTTCCTCAAATTTTTTAAGAAAATTACGATGAGGATAGTAAAAAACCGTTTCAGATATCTGGTGGATTATTTCTTCTGGTTCTTGCCCAGCACGTTGTATGTCCCGTAATACCCGTTTAACAAGGTCAAAGTGAACTCCACCCCTAACAGATACTCGAAGATCCAGTAAAGGTCGCAATTTCTCACTCAAAGCATAGATACCCTCAATAATCACAATTCGGGAGCTTGGAACTTCGAGTGTCCTGCTACCAGCACATGCTTAAAATGAGTTTCAAAAACTAGTTCGTTTTGAGCAATGGACAATTTAATCAAATACTCAACCTTAAAGAACAACAAAGAAATAGAAAGGAAATGAAAGGGTTAGCTATAAAACATAATAAATTCAATAATGAAGGAAGAAAAAGAACAGCAAGGGCCAACTACATGAAACTAGAGTAGTGCACAGCAGAAAAGTCAAGGAGAGTCGTCAGATGATAATATATAGGGTAAACTATGCTGTACCCACCATGGGGCTAGGCCTGAAAACACAAAGCCTCCTTCATGTTTGTTCTGTGACACTGAACCCCCTTGTGGTGGCTACCAAATTGCAACCATCATATTTTCCGTACAATTTAACAGTGTGTGTGTCACACCCCATTCGTATGCGCTGATATTACAAAGAGGAGCCAAATTTGAACACATACCCCTCATACCTCTGTTAAAATTGACCATGATTCAAAAGCAAAACTATTAGTACTAAACTCATGCCTGCAAGGCCATTGGTGAAGTTGGCACCCCCAATTCTCCGGATGCATATTGAAATCCAAAAACCTGGGCTTCCCTTGCAATGCCACACTCCGATTATTCCCCATACACACACATATGAATAGATAACTATGATGAATTTTCTCTTCCTAGTGCTCAGGAAATCGCATTTGTGGGACTGAGTTTGTCTTTTTAAATGTCTAACTTTCTCTCTCTTGGAGTTTATCTATCTATATATACATATATATCTCTCTAACTCTATCTATCTAATTATATGTATACGTATACACATAATTGTGATGAATTCTGTCTTTGTAGAGCTAACGAATTTGAATTTGTGGAACTGAGTTGTCTAGTGTCACCATGAAATTTTCTCTCTTGAGAAACCTCCATCTGGACAAAAACCAATAGAAGAAGAGGAATTGAAACACTGGGTCCAAAAGCAAGAGGCTACTCATGCATAGTAAAGATGCTATGGAGCAGAGACTCACATGGGAAGAAGCACATGAGCTTCTACACCCACCCCTAAGTGCCAAGTCAACCATTGTCATGATTGAGGACCAACAATTTCAAGAATATGATACAAGTAAATCCAGCAGGCAGTTTTTTTCCAGGACTCCGGAAAAGGAATTTCATAATTTGTTTTCGTAAAAAATTGTCATACACATGATTTGGAAATTTGTTTTGTTAAAATTTGTCATAAAAATATATCATCAAAATGGAATACAACTCTGGATGAACATTTTGGCTGTTAGATCCAGTTGCTGGACTGGAACATTGGTGCTAGGCCCCATTAGGAAAGAGGAAACTATTACTAAGTGGCAGAAGCATACTGTGATGTGGAAGAAGCTTCTTTACAATATGGATAGGCCTCACAGTTATGATCTTACATACTATTGTATCCACCAAGCCACCAAAAATGGAAATGATTGGAGAAATAAAAAGCCAAAAGAGAGAAGGGTGAGGAAGAGAGGTGGCCGGCCGGTGATTGTAACCGTTAGAAGTGGAGAAGGAGATATCAGGTTCGATAGGCTTCATAAACATATCAGGGTTATTTTTGTCTTCCTACGTTTTATGTTATGTCCGTTATTTTTTTCCGTTTGACCCCCACCACAATGGGTTGTTTAGTGTCACAAAAAAGGGGGTTAGGACGCTACGTGTATTTGGGCCTTAACTCTATGTTACGTGGACTCAGGGGTGTAACCGTAATATATAAAATGCAAAATTCATTAATGAAAGTGGATGCATTCATGTTCTAAACAAGGTCAGGTGACAAGGTACACTTTCTTCAATAAAAGTAGTGTCCTTGAGGAACAATGATAAAAATGGAAAAGAAAAAGATTGTTCGCCACCATTCAGTATGTTTTGAACAATAACCAAAAAAAAAAAAAAAAAGGGGTTCAAATGTAATTATTCTAATAACTCTCTATGGGAATACAACACACAAGAAAATTGGCAAAGGGAGGGAAGGGTAGCAGAAACATGAACTTTTAATCCAAATATAATCATATTAAAGATCAGTTTGTTTAAATAAATATTGCATCTTGTGTAAATATATATGAGACGTTCATAATATTAAATAAAGAACTCAACCTGTATCCTGTGCGGGAACTAGACTTGAAATCATATATTGGAATTTCAACCTGCTTCCCTGCCTTTAGGTCGTGGATATTCTTGAGCAATGTATCATAGTCTGTCAACCGTGGGTCTGCCCCAAAAAGATATTACACTAGTCAAAAGTCACATGTTCAATGTTTCAACTTTACTTCAGCAATGAAAGCAAATTTGAGAATTTTTTTGCAGTACATAAAATCTGGGAAAAATAAAAATCGGGCCATGTCAGTTTAGTAAAACACTGGTCAGTGCAATCTAGAATTTACCAATGAACATGTAACAAAGATATTCATGAAATTATGCAAGCATTGGCTAAACATGTGATATTTCTCAAAAGAAAAGGAAAGAAAAACCAGTACTATTCATCCATTAAATCGTAGTTTTGTTGGCAGTTGTTTTGATGCTTCATGTAACTGTCCAGTGACCACCTTTGATTTGCAGTGAAAAGCAAAAGTAGTGTTAATATTTAGCATTTTCTTAATATAAAAAATTTTCTAACTCTAAAATGCATGTCTATTTTAGCATAAACGTCACAATTAAACTCAACCACATTGTCAAGTATTATCCCTAGCCTATGGGCTCCTTACAGAATTTAAGTTTCATTCAGATCAAATAATTATTTCACAAAACCATCCTATTTAAATAATTTGGACACATACTGGTATTTCAGATTACACCTTCCAATTGGCAATCTAAAAGCATAGTAAAAACCAATCGATAGATGGGCACATAAGAGAGAGGGAATAAAAAAGAAATACAAACCTTCAAGGGAAAACAAAAGCATATTTCTCCAGGCCAGGAAAAACTTAAATTAAGAAACTCATTATTACTGAACAGTGAACACCATAAGGAATCCAATCAGGGAGTCCTACCAAAAGAATCCAAAAGCAGAACCATAGAAAGAAGAGTTTACCATCAAAGTTGCCATCAATAATTCGACTAGAATCATTGTGGTTGTCCATTGATATGACAGCAACGCTGGGCATAAAGTTGAGTACCTTTTCAGTAAATACTGTCTTCCCAGCTCCGGAAGGACCAGCTAACCCTACTAATATAAGTCCATCATTCTTTTGGGTTAACAATTGGCATGCACGGATAACAACAAAGAAACCCTTCTCAAATGACAGATGATCTTGGAAAGCGGCAATCTCATAACGATCGGAATCTTTTCTCTTAACCACCCGTACTTGATCTTTCAAGAGGCCTGCCTTTAGCTTATTTGATTCAGCAGAAGTATCATGAGCCATAGCAAATATGTTACCTTAATCTGATAAAACAAAAACAGGATATGCAGTTATCTACCAAGATAATTTGCTTTGAAGCAAAGGAAACTAGGATGCATCATCATGTATTAAAGGATATCAATTGATATGAGGTAACTCAGGCCCAATTGGGCTGCGATACCCTGGATTATCCAAAAAAAAAGGGCATCAATCATTAGGATGTTGGACATCTCAGAGAAATGAAAATTCATTTCACATTTTGAACTTCATTTCTTTGCGGAAGTGTTTCCATTTTAAGTGGAGAACTGCAATCACCAATGGGGTAAAAGTACATTCAAATTTAGATTATTCATTAAAAATCTGAATGAGCTCATTTCTGACAAGAACAGAATGTGCAAAACATATCGACTGAGTGCTATATGGCAAGAAGGCAATTATCCAACGTCACAAGCTATGAAACAAACAGGTACTAACTACATGCAGCATCAAAGCAATGATATAGACAGAAGTAACAAGGTCATGGCACTAAAATGACAAACCACATCTGTGGAACAATAATCTAGTTGAGCATTCTTTTCTCGTGGATTTAAGTACATGGAAAAGAACTGCAAAGCCATCACTGTAAGCATAACAAAGTGCTTGAGAGAAGCCATATAGATGTACATTCAGCCTTATACATCATAGGCTATCAGAGGAATGAGGCCAACAAATAATTGAAGTGAAAGGTGAACAATTTAACATTGCTCGTTTAAGGATTGAAAGAACAACACCCAGTTAAAGACCCAAAATTTAGTGAGCTGACAATGGAATAAACAAGGGCAAAAGTTTTAACCATAAAATTGGTGATTAGCCTCCATATTGATCTCAATCTGACTTAGTCATCCAGTTGCCAAAGAAATAAGCAAGCAGAACAGCTTAGATCATTAATCCATTTTACTCAATGTTAAAATCCACCTACTCTCCACCTACTTCACCCACTCAAACATACTCCACTAAACCTAACCCACTACACCACTACCACCTCACCTACTATTAATCCATTTTACTCAACAGTTTCCACCATATTCATCCATCTTCTTTTGATGTCGAGGCAGAATTGATTTTTGTTTTTTAGAGAACTAATGGTGTATTACAATGAATGAAAATTTCCATTCAGCATCACCATATCCAAACACAAAGCAAGGTAACTTATCTACATTCAGAACCTAGAGAATAAAACAAATTATTAGGATTGTGTGAGCCGAGTATAGAAATTGCGCATTCGGCAAACAGAGCACTCCTAGGCCCATCATTGATGGGGCCAAGTTCAACCATGCCCACTGGATTACAGAGGTTCGATGCCGAGTAAATCCTTTCACCGACTAGGTGACACGCCGAGAGGATAGTGCCGACAATCAAAGAACATTAATGCCGAGTACCAAGGACAATTCGGCAGGCTATCCCAATCAAAGTAGGCCCAAGCCGTCCCTTTCCAAAGGTGTAATAGGGATGTGGGTCTTGACATTATGGTAATGATGATGATGATGATGAGAAAATCAAACTATGTGAAGAAATATCTACACAAGACCTCTATATATAGAAGGTTGTTAACTTTCTGAATAAAATTATATATTCAATTGTGTTTTAATACAATGTGTACATCTGATATATATAGCAATTCTAGACCCAATCCTAAATAGGAAACAAGAATAAACCTAAACTAATCCTAAATAAGAAACAAATAAACCTAAATCAATCCTAAATAGAAAACAATATTCACATAATATACACTATACTAATATTATTTTCACACCCCCACTGAAGCTCAAGGTATTTGGGCAGAAAAAAATGAGAGTTTGCCAAAAAGAAATTGAAACCGAGTAGTGGTGTTAATCTTAGTAAAGAAGTCAGCAAGTTGCAGAGCCGAAAATACAAAAGGAAGCGAGATTGAGCCAAACTGCAGATGCTGACGAACAAAATAACAATCAATCTCGATGTGCTTGGTCTGCTCATGGAAGACAGTGTTATGTGCAATCTAAATAGCATTGCGATTGTCACAATAGAGGGAGGTCGGACAAGACTGAGGGATGCCCAAGTCAGAGAGAAGACAACGAAGCCAGACAACTTTAGCAGTAGCATAAGCCATAGCACGATACTCAGCTTCGGCAGTAGAGCGAGCAACAACAGTTTGTTTCTTGCTTTTCTAAGAGATCAATGAATTGCCAAGAAACATATGGAAACCAGACGTAGACTTGCGATTAGTAACATCACCAGCCCAATCATAATCAGCATAGGCCACCAAATCCAGAGAGAAAGTAGAGGACAATAGTAAACTCTGAAATATCGTACCTCGGAGATAGCGAAGAATCCAAACCAAGGCAGCCCAATGTATGGAACAAGGAGCAGAGACAAACTGGCTAACCACATGAACAGCATATGCAAGATCAGAACGAGTAACCGTTAGATAGACTAAGCAACCCACGAGCTCTCGATAGAGAGTAGGATCATCCAGAAGAACACCATCAGTAGTGTTGAGCTTTACATTAAGCTCAATGGAGGTATCAGAAATCTTAGTGTCAGTAAGACCGGCACGATGAATAACCTCATTGGCATACTTGGCCTGAGAGAGGAAGTAGCCTTTAGGAGAATAAGCTACCTCAATACCACGAAAATACCGCAATGGACCCAGATCCTTCATTTCAAAGGTGCGGAAAAGATGCTGTTTGACCTCAGATATAGTAGAAAAGTCAAAACCAGTGATGATCATATCATCCACAAACAGTAAGAACGTAATAAATCCAGTAGAGGTGTGGAGAAGAAATAAAGCAGAGTCTTGGGCACAAGGATAAAACTCAAGCTCAGTAATAGCAATCTGAAAGCAATCATACTAAGTGTGAGGAGACTGCTTCAAACCATACAGAGCATGCCAAAGGCGACAAACTTGTCCAGAGAAACGATGAAGGCCAGGGGGAGGACGCCTGTAAACCTCCTTAGTGGGATGGCCATTAAGAAAAGCATTTTTAACATCAATCTAATAAAGAGGCCAAAAATGAACAGCAGTGACAGAAATCAAAGTACGGACAGTAGTCATCTTGACAACAGGAGCAAAGGTCTCCTCATAATTAATATCATACTCCTGTGCTGTGAGAAACCTTTGGCAATCAAACGGGCTTTGTAGCGCTCACGAGAACTATCAGAATGAGTCTTGACTTTATAGACCCATTTGCAACCAATCAGAATCTTACCAGCAAGCAAAGGAACCAACTCCCAAGTATTAGTTTTCTATAAAGTAGACAACTTATCATCCATAGCTTGAACCCAATGAAGATCCTGGCAGGCCTCCTTGTAAGACTGAGATTCTGAAAAAAAGTGAATAGCAGGAAAAAAAAGTACGATAGGAAACAGAAAAACATGTATTAGACCAATGCAACTTGTTTGGAGGATGATGCGCTCAAGTAGGATATCGGTGTGCAGCAGGATTAGAGTCGTCAGAAACAGGAGGATCAGCAACAGGGGCAGAGAGACAACCGTTGGAGGAGGAGCCTTGCGACGAGAATAAACTAACAGCGGAGGAGGAGAAGAAACCGAAGGAGGAGAAGCAGCTGGAGGAGAAGATGGAACAAGCTCAGGAGGAACTGTAGAGATGTACTCATCAGACGAGACCTCGGAAGGAAACGGATCAATATGAACCAAATTCTCTTTGGAAACAAGGGCGATGAGAGGAGGAAACTAAAAATAAGGTAGACGTTCGAGAAAAAAAACATAACGGGAGACATAAAGACGACAGGTAACAGGGTCGTAATACCGATAGCCTTTCTGAGTAGGACTATAACCCAAAAAGACACAGAGGACAGACTGGGCACTAAGTTTGCTCCTATCTTTGCGGGGAAGAAGAACAAAACAGGCAGACCCAAACACACGAAGGAGGGAGTAGTTAGGAATTTGGGAGAACAAAGCCTCATAAGGAGACCGGCCAGAAAGAAAAGGAGTAGGCATGCGGTTAAGAAGAAAAGCAGCAGTAAGAATTGTCTCCCCCTAGAATGGAGCCGGAACTAAAGCAAAGAGAAGAAGAGACCTAGCTGTCTCAAGGACATGACGGTGTACGCCCGGTTCGACCATTTTGGACAAGTATATCTGTATAGGAAGTTTGGTAAATGGTGCTCAAATTGGCCAAATACTCACAGAACTTATTTTTAAAATATTCCCCACCCAAGTCAAACCTCAACACTTTAATTGTAGACCCAAACTAAGTAGTAATCATAGACTGAAATGTACGGTATATCTGATAGAAATCGGACTTATGAGTCATAAGATAAACCCAAGTGTAACGGGTGCAGTCATCAACAAATGAGACATAATATGCAGAACTCCCTTTGGTGAAAACAGGAGAAGGGCCCTAAACATCAGTATGAACTAAAGAAAACGGTGTATCAGATATGGAAGTACTTTTACGAAAAGGTAAGGCTGTTATTTTGGCAAGTTTACACCTCTGACATTCAATAAGTTCATTAGGAGAAACTTTACCCAATATACCTGACTGAGCTAAAGACCATAAGTGGTCAACAGACAAATGTCCTAATCTAGAATGTCACAAGTAGAAAGGAATGGATAGAGAATCTAATTGAAAAGAGGAAAAAGCAGTTGGAGAAATTGTTATAAGCAGATGCAAGCTCTGCAACATACAGAGCTCTCCAACTCTACAGTCAGTCCCAATCTGCTGCTTGGACATCTGATCTTGCACAGAACAGATAGAAGAAGAAAAAATAACATCAAAGCCGGAGGCATCAAGCTGACTAAACTAATAGATAACTGAAGAACATAAATGACAGATGGAATAGAAACAACAGACATAGCAGACAGTAAGACAGACTCAACAGATATAATAGACATACTAGACCCATTAGCAGCATTAACAGTAATAGGAAAAGGAATGGGAGTACAATTTTGAAGCAAGATGAGATGGGGAGTCATATGATGAGAGGTACCAGAGTCAAAAATCCAGACAGACGAAGAGATACCTGAAGAAGACCTAAGCAAACTAAATGAAGAGAGAAAACAATGGAGGTAGACGGGGATCGCTGGGAGGTAGACAGTATATGCTGAAGCTGACTAATTTGAGCACTCAAGGAAGCCAAGTCAGGATCAGGAGCTGGAACATAAGCAATAGAACTGGCGGAAGCCTGTAAATTACTCGGAGAAGAAGAGCAAAACTAGGTCTGAGACTGCTGAGAAGACAAGCCAGACAGACATCCCTTTTTGGGACAGTGATACTTCCAATGGCCCCTCTGATGGTAGAAGGCACACTCATTCGAAGCTAGAGACATCATAATAACCAAAAAGCTAAGGGGTTCAAGTGCAATAAACCCTAAATAGCCAAACCAGGGAAAGGATAATAAACAAAAATCTGATGAGGCAAAATCAAATAAACCAATACCAGATGGGTCAAATATGACCAAACAGAACTAGAAAAGGAGTTGCGTAATTCCCCAAAACAGATGTAGCGAACCAGAGAAGAGATGGGTCAACCAAGAGAGATAATACCTCAGATGGGTCACGCAATCTGACCTAGAACCAGTGAGAGAGAGAAAGCAGACCGTCGCAAGAACCAGATGGGTCAATATGTTGTCGGATTGCAATTCTGGTGACAAATACAATTTCGATGAACACCCAATGGCAGCGAAACAAACACTAAAGATCCAGACGAATTGCGATGACTAGGCGAACCAAACGAAACGACCACACGAAGTACCCAACTGAGATGGGTCGACTTCTTGAGACTAGAGATCAAAATCAGAGATGACTGCTAGGGTTTTGAGTCCTTCAGGTTTCGAACCAATCTCTGATACCATGTTAACTTTCTGAATAAAACTGTACATTCAATTGTGTTTTAATACAATGTATACATCTGATATATATAGCAATTCTAGACCTCATCCTAAATAGGAAACAAGAATAAGCATAAACTAATCCTAAATGGGAAACAAATAAACCTAAACCAATCCTAAATAGGAAACAATATTCACATAATATATACTATACTACTATTACTCTCACAAAGGTAACTGGAAGAAGAAACATATGCATAATCACCCTAACTTGCTATCCTCTTTGAATACCTAACTCATTTTCTCTCTCAACCAATATCTGACTTGACCGTCGGAGTGCTAATTCCAGCATCCCCGGCCAGAGTGCCACTTGTTTCAGACACTAGAGTGAGGATCCAACAAAGGTCTATTTGGGGCGAAGGAGTATTGCAAATCCGCCCCTCACAAGGGTAAAAATGGATATGTCAGCGAACAACCAAAAATTAGCACATTAGAGCATATCAGTACATTTACATCCTTTCTATAAAACACTACGATGATGTACCTCCATTCAAATTAAATAACATGAACTGTAGTAGTTATCTACATGCAAGGCCTTAAAGAATCATAACAAAAGGTTCTTAGCAACTAAATTCATGGCAAATTCCTATGGCTATACTCCAACAAGATTGGTACTGTCAACAATCAATACTTACCCATAGCCATCGTCTTACTGCTATAGGTCACATATTATAAATTCATAATTATGATATTCAATCCTAGAACTTGCATGTGCACTTGATATTCCAAGATTTGTATCAAAAACAAATACCATCTTTCTTCTGTACTTCATAGACAGAAATTTACCATAAACGCATAATAGAACTCAGACATAAATTTCCAATCCCTAACAGAGATAAATTTCACATTTTTTAACAGTCATTTGAAGACATCAAATTTTTTTTAAGGGTTAATTACACTAATTTACACTATAGTCCCAATCTTTTAATTGCTCTACTTTGATCCCCAAAGTATGCGATCTACACTTTAGTCCGTAAAGTTCGCGTCTTTCAAAATCAATAAAATTTTATATGAAGTCTCAACAAAACCAAAATGACAAAATACACGCGTAGTCTCAAGGTATGCATTTTGTAACAATTTGGTTATTAGAATACCCGTTTTGTCACTTTCTTATATTTTCGTCCCCAATCTTCTAATTCTGTTGTATTTTTCTCGTAAAAATCCAAAATTACCCCTAGTAACTGCGCTGACATCAGGGACTAAACAGATTGTATATTTTGATAATCAAAATGGAAAAATTAAAAAATTGAAGACTAAACCAAACCCATATTTGAGGATCATGGTGCAATTAACCCTTTTTAAAATTTTACAATGCCATCACCGTTTAACAAAGATAACCCAGAAACTAAAATCAGAGAAACCACATGCCCAGGTAAGATATCACCAAAAAAAATCAATTCTACACAAACAAAAGCCAAAAAAAAAAGAGAGTTCACCGTACGTTTTCATGACTCATTCCGATCTAATGCACATACACCCATTAACGTAAACAAAGAAACAGAAATCAAACGAATCATAAACTAAGAAACACCCATTACATAAATGGGAATCCCAACAAAAACCCAGATGATAAAATGGATCAAAATCAACACAATGTGTAGAGGAAGATACTAACCGAGTCACACACAATGAGTTCAGCAAGAAAACCGTATAACTCTGCTCATTTGTGTAGGGTATATATATATAAGTATTGTGTATATATAGATATATTAAAATTTCTTTCTCTGTTTGTTTACTTTTCCTTGAATGGAAGGGAATGTGATTTTCCGCGATTTTTTTGGGGGGAGGACCTGTCACGGAATTGAAAGAACCCTCAAAGAAAGAGGACTTTGAAAAACAATATATATATTTTTTAAATTTATCATTGCATTTTATTCATCACCGGCTCAGCGTCACTGATCGCAACCTTTTTGTTTGAATTATGATGCGCTCATACAAATTAATTATTGAAATTATTTTGTGACATTTTTATGAAGATTTGCAATAATTATTTTCTTTTTTTGCTTTGAATTATTTTTTTTCAATAATATTTTCATTCATTTTTAAGTTTTTTTTTGCTTTGAATTATTTTTTTTCAATAATATTTTCATTCATTTTTAAGTTTGTTTTGGGTTTTCAAATGAAGATGTATAATTATATATATTTCTCCTCTTAATTTAGTGGATACATCATACCTAGCTTTTTAACGGGCTAAGCCAAGCTAAATAGTAAGCTGTAAATTTTATTTAAAAATTTATTAAATTTTAAAATATGTTCAAATTTAATATGTTTATATAATAAGCCTCAAACAAACTTTTAACAAATTATTTTAGATATGGTTTATAAGTTGACTTTCTTATTTATTATGAAAAGACTTAAAAAAAAAATTTTAAAAAAATGATGTAACCTAAATAAATTAATAAGTCAGGCCTCTTTGGGAATAGGTTTTTTAGTAATTTTTTGATTTTTTGGCTAAAATATGGTGTAAAAAAAATTAGTATGTTTGAAATGACTTTTTGATTTTTTACGAAAAGATGTACAAAAAGTAAAGTGAAAATGAAATTTTTGACTTTTTACTATAGGTTGTTATTTTTAGGCTTCTTTTGAGAAGTGATTTAGCTTTTTGATTTTTTGACTTTTTTGGTTATTTTAGCCTAAGGCTAAAAAACCTGATTTATGAAGGACTTTTGACTTTTTTAATTTTTTTGTGAGAGAAATAATGTAATGATTATGAGTTAAATGTGATGTTTTGTCTTATTAGACTAAAAAATTTATTTTATTTTTTGTGACTATTTTAGCCAAAAAATTCTCAAACCCAACTTTCCAAACATAAGTTAAATAATTTTTAAAATTTTTGACTAAAACCACCAATATAACTAACTTTTTTAATACTACCCAAAAGTTGATTTTTTACGGCGCATGTAAATTTAATGAACGAAATTATAAGTTATTTATGTTTAATTTAGCCTCCGTTTGGGAAGTGGGTTGGCTTTTTGGCTTTTTGGCTTTTTTAGCTATTTTAGCCTGGGCTAAAAAGCTTAGTTTGGGAAGGGCTTTTTGGCTTTTTGGCTTTTTTGACTTTTTTTGTGAGAGAAAAGTGTAATGATTATGGATTAGATGTGATGTTTTGTTTGTTATGGCTAAAATAGCCTGTTTTGTCTTTTGTGGCTATTTTAGCCTCAACCCACTTGCCAAACACCACCTAAGAACTTAACAAGTTTTCTATTCAAACTTTATTTAACACCCTACTCATACCTATTGAATAATGCAAGATACTACTATATATATGTATTCCTAAAATAGTACATATGTTATGTTTTTTTATAAGAATACCTCAAAATTTTATAATATAAATTATAGAATGGTATAACTTTTTTATTACAAAAATATTTTTGTTACTCATAACAAAAAAGCATTCATAATTTTATTATAAAAAATGACTTTCTTAATTACAATTAACTAGGTAAATTATACTTTTCATCTTTTAATATTTATATTAATTCCATTTTGATCCCTCGCATTTTAAATTTTCAATTAAACCTTCAGGTTTCAACTCATGTTGCAATGTGATTTTCGCCCACTATTTAAAATTTAAGTAAAAATAAAGCATAAACAAACAAGGGAAAATCATAAAGCATTCATAATTTTATTATAAAAAATGACTTTCTTAATTACAATTAACTAGGTAAATTATACTTTTCATCTTTTAATATTTATATTAATTCCATTTTGATCCCTCGCATTTTAAATTTTCAATTAAACCTTCAGGTTTCAACTCATGTTCTAATGTGATTTTCGCCCACCATTTAAAATTTAAGTAAAAATAAAGCATAAACAAACAAGGGAAAATCATTGGAAAATCCCATTTGGGAAAGTTTTAGTACGAGGAATCCCTTTTTTTTTTGGAAATGTTATTCACAAGATCCTATTTGGTATTTGTGGAATGAATTTTGTGACATTTTTACCCTTTTTCTTCGTAGGTGAATTGATTTGGAAGGGATTTTCTAGATTCCATTAATTACGTTAGGTTGGTGGTCATGTTTTGGAAAGTTAAAATATGAGCAGATTGTGGGGAAGTGGGAGTAGCAAGGTGTTCACGTTCGGGTGTCTTTGGGCTCGTCGGATTCAGAAGTTGTATTTTGCATGTGGAGCACTGGTTAAATTTCGGTAACGATAAGGGTGGGTTATGTTATACCTTTGTTTTCTAATTATGATTCATCGGTGGGTTGGGGTGTAAACGTTGGCGTGTGGTTTGTGCAAGCAGCACATCGTGTGTGTTGTTATGTGGTACTTTTATGTTGTTGTCATGGTTCAAAATGTGGCGAACCTAACACAGATTTCACAGTGCACAATTCATAGCCCACAACAAACAAATATGTTGAACTGAACACACATTTTACATATTTTAACTAAACAAATGTAACGGACACATTGCACAGTTCGTAGTGCACAGTTCAACAACGACACTACGTTACTCCGATGAACCTTTCAGAGTCCTGGGTTTTTTTGGGGCTGAAATGTTTGAAGGAATTCCCAAATGAGGACGACAAAACATTAACAATCGCACCAAATTTGAACGACACTACGCTACCATCACTTTCGGAACAAAGACTCATACTACTATCTCATGCCACCATCACTTCCGGTGGTGTAGTCCTTCACACCACAGCATCACATGCACTCACGGACACCATTGCAGAATTAAGATTTGGTTGCCACTTTTGGGACGAAGATTCGAATGTGAATCGGTAGTCCAAATGGGTGCGGAATACCCAAATGGGAATGACGAAATGTTGCTACACATGCCACCATTATTTCTGGCGGTGCAGTCCTTCACACCATAACATCACATACACTCACAGACACAGGTGTTGAATGAAGATGTAGTTGCCACTTTTGGGATAAAGAATCGAACGTGAATCGGTGGTCCAAATAGGTGCGGAATACCTAAATGGGAATGATGAAATATTGCCACGCATGCCACCATCACTTCTGGTAGTGCAGTCCTTCACACCACAACATCACACGCACTCACGGACACAGGAACAAAATGAAGATTTGGTTGCCATTTTTGGGATGAATGTGAATCGGTGGTCCAAACGAGTGCGGAATACCTAAATGGGAATTGTGAAATGTTGAATCGGTGGTCCAGACAAGATCAAGAATGTCGATCGACTTCCTCAACTTTCTGGTGGTTACGTTTGGGTTAGAATTGAAATGTAGGTCACCTTGTTTAATTTGGTGGAACGTACATCAGTTTTTTGGATCTAGATATGAGCTGTATTCATTCAATGTTGGGGGGCGGGGGGAAGGGGGGGTGGACACGTTTGGATTCGGACCCAAATATAGGCCACCCAAATAATTGTGGTAAACTAAAAAAAGCCTATGGTAAGCTTTTTTCAAATGTAACTGCCACGCCCCATTTTTTTATTGCTTGAATTCTATTACCAAATCTTTATTATAGATTTAATCTCAGAGACAGCATGCGGAAACTCTTTACATTGACAAGAACACATGAATAAAGCTCCCCTCGTCCGAATACAATGTGAATGCAACAAGAGTTATAATTAAATAAATTGCCTATAGACTTACATCTTTTAAATTAAAAGAAAGGGTTTAACCCTTTGACATCAATGGCATTCCGCCCACAAATAAAAGGCTCCGTGGCCAACAAATAAAGAAGATCCTTGAGCTTGAAACACTTCTTGACGTTCAACTGAAAAAGGATTAACAACATGAGATGAACTTAAAGTCCAGTAGGGATCTCAATATGATCCTAAACAATAACAATATACAGATAGCTATGATCATAAATGCTTTATATCATATCATATACATAATATGACGGTTTATACTTAACATATACTTATACATGTACTTTTCTTTAAAATCATTCAATTTACCCAACAACACAAACAATTCACTTTTCTTTAAAAGTTCCCATTTATAAATAACGCATCATAACTGGTTGTTTTTTTAAAAATACTTTCACAAAACCCGATTACTTCTCATTATTTATGCCTAATACGAAACATATGTTTACTTCTGATACGTTCATCACATTCCCTTGGTCCTAAGTCCATGGTTAAGAAACACTTTCAACAACTCGCCCAATACTCCTATGTACATACATATATGTCCTAATACGAATACGAAATCAATACATGTACAATGATCACTACACTATTACATAAAACAATCCAGCCTCACCCAACCATAACCATTACCTACTCATGATAGGCTCTACCTACCTGAAGCACGGTAAGCCAATGATACATCTCTCCACAACATAATGCCATTTTACCAGACACCAGCTGGAAAGAAATGGTACCTCTGCCAATTTTCCAGGCGCTAGCTGGAAAGTAATGGTACCCCTGATTTTTAGTGCAGCCAATTTTTCTAGGCGCTAGCTGGAAAGCAATGGTACCTCTCATTCTCAGCGCGTGAATATTTCCTACCATCTCAACATACTAGAATGCATAATAACACAAGTGCACTACATACACAATAATATTCAACACAACAATGCCATCCTCCACCGATGACCAAGAACAAAACCTTTAAGCATATGTATTAAATACACGTAAGATAACAATCCAATACTCACGAGACTTTAAGTCCAATGATAATAATACTATGTAAATGTTTCAAAATCCAACCTCAAGTTCATTATTAATTTACGAATGATTATGATGTCATTTTCTTTCCAACAACCAATTTTCTTTATTTTCCAATCCATACTACTCCAATCATTTTGTAAAAATTCATTCTCTTCATTTAATTAAAAACCACATCCTTGATGCCAAAGCCACAACTCAACCCCACTCAACATGATTAATTCAAATAATTCCAATACCATAGT